AATGAGGGTTCGGTCTGCTATTTCTGGATGGTCTCAGCTTCTAGAACCTTCTTTTGGATGCGTCTGCTGTGATGGCATATGGTTAGGTTTCACTTTTCTGTCTTGCAGTAATTTCAGGGGTGCGTGAGACACAAGTTGGTGCGACCCTCTCTATTCTTCCAACCCCCTAGGGAGGGCCCCCCATTCTTCTTAGGGGGTGGATTGGTCATGGGGATGAACCCTCTCTGGAGCCTTCACGTAGAGAGTAAGTTCTGCCCGTGTGTTGAAGTTTGGGTCAAGAAATGAAGAAGGTGTGTGTGTGTGTGTGTGTGTGTGTGTGTGTGTGTGTGTGTGGTGTGAGGAGTATGTGTATATGGTGTGCATGGTGTGAGAGATATGTGTATGTTGTGTGTATGTATATGGCGTGAGGGGAATGTATATATGCTGTGTGTGGTATGTATATGGGGTATGTGACATAGCCATAGTGTGTATAAGTAGGTGTGTGTTTATATACATGTATGTGTTATTGTGTATGCATATGTGTACTGTGTGGATGTTGGTGTGTTTATAGGAGTGTATGTGTTGTGTCGGTGTGTATGTTTGTGTATGTGTGATGTGTAAATGGGAAATGTGTGTACGTGGGTGTTTGTGGCATGTTTGGTGTGAATATGTATTTGTGGTGAGTGTGGTGTGTATGCCTGTATGTGTGTAAGTGTGGTATATTTTTGTATGCCTGTGTGTATATAAGTGTGCCTATATTTGTGTATCTATGTCTGTATGCATACATGTATGCCTGTATGTGTGCATATGCTTGTGTCCGTATGCCTGTTATATGTATGTATGCCTGTATGTATGTATCTGTATGTGTTGTATGTGTCTGTATGTTTATGTGTCTGCCTGTGTGTTATATGTGTCTGCCCATATACATGTATGCCTGTATCTGTGTCTATATATCTGTGTGTATGTTATATATGTGTCTGCCTGTATGTGTGTGTCTGCTTGTATGCTTTCTGTGTGTCTGCCTGTATATGTGTGGGCCATTTCATCACCCGCACCCCATAAACCTTGCCTTGCTGCTAGAGTCACCATCTGATCCAGTGCAGGCAGGTCTGAATGCCTGTAGTGATAAAAAGGTAAAGGTAAAAGGTAAAGGCCCTCCCGTTGATCGTCGATTTGCTCGAGCGGGCCCAGTAACGTCTCCATTGGAGACTTTGTTGTTACTGTGTCTGGCATATCGAATACTCTCGGTAGCTTGCCGGGCTCTCCGAGAGGGGCGGAGGAATCAAACTCGGGTCGGCGATGTTGGCCGCTTGTAAGGCGAACGCCCTACCGCTGTGCTATCGCTCCATAGTGGTTAGTACTCTGCCTGTAGTGATGGTTGATAAAAATAACTCACAGATTTGATGTTTGTCACATGAACTCCACATGGATTCTGGTGTCCTCAACTGACGCAGGCTTTCAGATGTGGAGTGCACGCTGCTGATGGCATGGTGTTTGTGTGTGGGGGGAGTCTTGGGTGGTGCTCTCACAGTTATCTTGCTCCAGATCGCTCTCTTGGTCCTTCCACACACAGAGCTGTGGGCAGTGGATGGAAATGACTGTTGTACAATGTTGGAAACATTTGGGGCCTCCCAGATAGTGCTCCGGAGGGTAGAGGGTCCCACTGGTGACTCCTGGCCAGCTGGGCCAGTGGCTTGACACATGGATGCAGTGCTGCTTGCTGTACCCTTTAGTGCTGGGGACAGCCCGGATATCTGGCCACCCCCGCACTGCAGGCCTGGTGGTACCAGGAATTGAGCCTGGGTTGGACTGTACCCTAAACCCTGTACTGTTTCCTGGCCTTGTGTTCTTTCCAAACAACAACAGCTAAAACACAAGGAACTGATGGCCGATGAGGTACAAGGGTTTTTGTGGGTGACCGAATGCTGAGCGACAAAGTGCATCTCAGACACATGCACAGTGGCCTGTGTCCCTAATGGGATGGACAAAACAAGGCCCAGAGATGGGGATCCCCTCCCTGAGAGGCTGGGGAAAGGACTAGGGGCCCATTAGCTGGGGTAGTGACCGGAACCCAGCCTGGTCCCAGAACGTCAGAGTACTGTCCCCCCATGTCACGCAGGAACAAACCCCGTACTCAGACCTGAGCTCAGGCTGCGCCTTGCATCCAGGCTGGCTTCCTGATTGTGACCATCTTCAGGGTTGCATAAGTTTGGGACTATGTGGGGAGATGGGGGAGATGGGGGTGGGGGCACCCCCTCTCTCAGGATCGTCACCACTGCTGCTTTTTGTGGAGACAGAGTGATTTCTGGATGCAAAGACAGAAACAAAGGCCGGTGATGAGGGGGGGCTTTGCACCTTGTAGGCAGACAGCTGGACAGGACAGAGGCCCACTGGAGGCCTTTAGTGGGTAGGCAGGGCTGGGAAATAGCTGCACTGACGCCTCAGGATAGTGTCAGGCTTCATCTCTTGAATTCTCAGCCATGGCTAGTTTCTCTAGCTTCTGTTAATGCTGGAGCTTTAGGGAATTTTAGCCAGCAGGAACCTTCCAGCAAATGTAGGTCTGACTTTCAGATTATCCCCCTGAGCGCTGCTCCCCTTTGTAATATGAGGTCCCTGTCCCAAATTTTCACTCACATCCAATCTTGTCTAAATTTATCATCCTGGGGCAGTAGAGTGGGATCTTAAAGGGCCATCTGATACCTTGTTCCTCTCTTAACGAGACAAATCATCTGGCGTTAGGTGGGCTGCAGCAATGATGGATTTGTTATTTAATATGTGGGGAGACTCAATTCTGGGGGTTTGTTTTCATCCCTCTGGTAAAGCTGGTCGATTTCCAGGACTGAGTGGGTAGGAGGAAACCTCACTTCGAAGATGATGGACCACATGTGGTTCTTGGACAGCACGGACAGTTTGCACCTGCGCTAGTGGTCCTGGGTGTAGGGACCACCCCACCAGACCTGCTGAGTGCATACTGGGACACGCAGCCTACCACGCACTCTTAGCTTGAAGAGGTGGTAGCAGGCTGGAGACATGTGCCTTGCATGCAACTGGACCTGGTTAGATCCTGTGAGCACCGCAGGGTGTGGACCCAGAGATTCCCCAAGCACTGCTGGGTTCTGTAATCAAACTGAGGCCAACGCCTGCTTGTTGTGTGGGTACATGCGTGCATGCTCTCTGTCTGTCTGTCTGTCTGTCTGTCTCTCTCTCTCACACACACAGAATAATCATTTGAGGAAAAAGTGCTTTTTTCCCCCCAGCAACCAACGCTCATTCACTCATCTCCACTACTTTTCTTTACAGAAGGAAAGAGGATCTTGGGGAAACTGAGTTTACTATAAAGACAGGCTTAGAGGCCAAAGAGAGTACAGTGGGTAGGGCACTTGATTTGCATGGGGCCGGTCTGGGTTCTACCTCTGCCCCATCCTCCAAGGAGTGATCCCTGAGCAGATACAGGAGTTAAATCTTGAGCACTCCTGGGCTGGCCTTCTGAACCCAAAAATCAAAACGACAACAAAAACCAACAAGTCTCAAAAAGCAGCCTAAAGATGAAGGAAAAATTCGTCACTTAAATTCCTGAAAGTGGGGGCCGGAGCAATAGTACAGCTGGCAGAGCGCTTGTCTTGCACGCAGCTGACTCAGGTTCGATCCCCAGCATCCCCTACTATGGTCCTCCATGCACCGCCAGGAGTAATTCCTGATTGTAGAAACAGGAGTAACCCCTGGGCATCACTGGGTGCCACCCCAAAAAAGAATTCCTGAAAGTGTCTAACAATTTAAGTCACAGTCTTCTTGCCAAAGACACGGGAAACCCAATAAAGCAGAACCAAGGCACTCAGGCATCAGTGTGATTGTTTTATTAACAAAAGGAACCCATGGGGTTCAAACCAGAGTACAAAATACAATCATTATTCATTTCCCTGTGGCTAAACTGTTACATTCTTAAATAATAAAAATAAAAAGGCTTTCATAGTTAACTTACCAAAAGAAAGAAAAAAAATCACCCCTGCCTATTGAGTTTTGTGGTGTGCAAAACCAACCAAGTCAAACCCGACCTGAAAAGTTCTGTCCGGGGAACATTTCCTGTGCCCATTGTCAATTTGAAATTTTTTGTATCCAGAGGAAACTTCTAAGGCCACGGTTTGTTGACGAAACAGAAGGGGGTGACATACACTTAGCGGGTACCAGCAGCTCAGTTTTCATCCTCCCCCCTTCTCCCTTTCCCCCGGAGTTGTTCCAGTCTAGAACCGTCTACACTTGTGAAAATCAGTTCTTGATTTTCCTGGCCTGTGCTTTAGGCTGAGGGTCAGGAACAGGCCTTCAGTCACAGGCTGTCGGCTCTTGTCCTTCCTACAGGCTAGGAAGCAGCTTGGCTTCTTTGGGATGGGCCCTGTTCTGGATCTTTCTTAGGATGTGGGGGAGGCAGAGCTGCCTCAGAACTTGGGGGCCAGGCCGTTGGGCTGCCACCCTGGAGGCTGTCTCTCTCCCTTGGCTTGTTGGTATCTCGGGGACAGCCCTTTCTGTTTCTTCCAAATTAAAATAAATAAAACACTTGAGCAATGCACACCTGCTGGAAACAAAGACACGCAAGACAAAACGGAAGTGCAAGGCCCACTGGGCCCCGAGGGAGGGAGGGGAGTTTGGTGACTGTGTTGGCTGTGCCGGGGGCGGGGGGAATGCTGTCTTTGCACTGAGTTTCATCAGGGACTCCCAGAGGAGGGCACTGGCCCCCTAGCCACAGTCGGGGGTGGGGAGACACACGGACATTCACTTCCTGTCCGAGACAGATCCCTGATGAACAGGCCCCATCCATGTCAGGCCTGGAGCGGGCAGGGCAGAAGGCCCATTTCTGGCCAAGTCAGAGGACAATACCATTTGTCAGAGTCCAGTGTCCTGCTGAAGTCTCCTCGTTCACTCCCGCCCCCAGGGGCCCTTGGACAGAAGGATAATAAGCAAGTGGCCTAGGACCCCACCCCACCCCGACTTGGGGCAGGCCAGGGCCGGGGACCACGCAGTTGTGTGGGTTATTTTTTTAAAGATCCTGAGGTTAAATGATAATTAAATATTGCACCAAAATCATAAACAGAGTCACAGTTCAACAGAGTGGGGGTTGGGGGGGGTGTCAGCTTGCATCTCCCAGGCTTGTGCGAAAGGCTACGTCCACCCTCCAGGGATGCTGCGTTTGTCTAGAATACTTTCTGGCATGTTCATCCCTTGGCCCACTCCCAGGACCGGATGGCAGCTCCCTGACCAAGTCTGACTTAGGGTGGGGAGGTGGGGCGCCCATTTTGCTTCCACAAGGTGGCTCGGGCCTGACCTAGCACGTACCACACAGGTAGCCTGAGGAGTCTGGCCCTGGCGCCGTCCATACCTGAGTCCTAAAGATGAGGAACACCCTAGTTGGCAGCTGTGCTCCTTGGAGAGATGGTGAGGGACCCGGCCTCAGTGGGGAACAGAGTGGGATGTGACAGGCTGTCCCACACTGAACTGTCCCTTGGGTCCACCAGCCTCCCTAATACTGTACAGCTGGGGGTAGCACATCCCTTGAGGGTGGGGAACTTCCTTTCTAGAACCTTCCAGAACCTGGTTGTGGGCTGAGATCAGGAAAGCTTGATGCCAGGGGTAACTAACCGGTGTTGACTGGGGTGTCTTTTACTCAGAGAGTCCCCATCACTCCCATGTCCAGCCTCCCAAGGGGGCCACATGGCATGAAAATTCCGGGCCTTCTTGAGGCTGCCCGGCACGATGGTCCTGCCGCCTCCTTCCTTGCTTTTCCCATGGGGGTGTCTATCCCCAGTGGGGCGTCCTCCACCCTGTGCCCAATTCCCTGGGGCCACAGCCCGGAGCGCGACAGTGTCTCTGCGCACCCCTTCCCAGGCTCGGTGCTCCTCAGTCTCACGTTTATCTTCCTTCCCTCTTCCCCCCAAAGGCAGGGGAGGGCCCCGTGCTCCACGGGGGTCTGTTCAGAACACGGAGGGGCCTGGCTGTGAGTCTTCTATGCCAGCAGGATGGGGGTCGACCTGTGGGGAGGTGCAGGTGGTCACCAGCGTGCCCCAGAAGGCCCCTGACTAGAGAAGGGTGGTGGGGACCCTTCCCAAGTGCACCCCTCCCACCTCCGCCCCCCCAGTCCACACAGATGCCACAAAGGCTCGTGGTCTTGGTGCCCCCACCACTGCCCAGGTCCGTGTTTGCTCAATCCCTGTCCCCCACCACCCAACTCCCCCAGACCAGCTGTCGGCTGCAGGCAAAGAAGCCTGAACACAGAGCAGAGAGGGATATGGGAGGGGGGTCCCTTCCTCTGCCCCACTTACCTCCGAGTAGAGAGGGGGTGGCTGGAAGCGGAACTCTTGGATGCAGGCCAGCATGGGGCAGCAGGCATCCTCCTCGGGCCCGGCTGGCGGGTGTCTGGAGAACTCCTCCTCTGAGACCACGTCGGCATAGTTGGGGGGCGCTGGCACAAGAGGGGTGGGGAGCAGTGAGCGGCCCGCAGCCACAGGAACACCGCAAGGCTCTGCGGAACTGTCTCGAGCCCTCGGCCTGGAGGAGCTTCACTTGGGGGCAAAGAAGGGCACCCCCCAACCCCACCAGGTCCCCCCATTGGCTTGTCTTCTTGTCACCATGAAAACCAGGTAATAGATTCTGCCCAGCTCAGGCAACACTGACCCATTTCTGAGGTGTCTGCATCAGGTTGTTTTTTTTTTTTTTTTAAATCATCCAAATGTATCTGGAGCAGAACAGCTCAGAAGGCTCTTTCTTGCCTTGCACATGGCCAAGTTCAATCCCTGGCACCCCACCGGCAAGCCCTAAGCACCGCCTGGTGTGGGCCCCCCACCCCCAATTCAAAGTGGCTACAGAAATGCTCTTCTCCTGTCTCTGTTTCACGAGCAACAGCTGGAATCAGAAGAGATCCCCTCGGCCACTCAGGACCGTTGGCAGCCCCTTTGTGTCCCAAGATCTGAACGCCCAGACCCGGGGTGGGAGTGATGTTTCTGGCAGCAATACCCCTACCTTCGGGTTGCTCAGGCAGAGCCAGGGCCAACCAGCTCATGTCCATGAGGAAGTGGCTGGCCATGTTGGAGTTCCTACTGTCCAGGCCGTTGTAGGGAATGGTGCCGATGACGAGGGGCAGCTCAAGCATCAGCTTTTTAGCACCAGGGATGTGGATGTAAACCTGCCGGGCCACGGGGAGAGGATGTCGGTCAGACCTGCTGCAGCTCATGAAAACCGGATGCCTCTGTGGCCTGCTGCCCACCTCGGATGGACCACAGTGAATGGAGAGCAGAGCCAGACTGCTGGGCCACAGGGACCGTGGCCTGCCACTGACTCCCTCCCTGCCATGGGGACCGTGGCCTGTCACTGACTCCCTCCCTGCCATGGGGACCTATCTCCAACCTCCCTCCCTGCCTGGGAGCATGCTGACAGAGCAGCCCCAGGGAAAAAAGTTGTGCAATGTCCCCTTCATGCACCTTCTTTTCTTTCTTGTTTTGGTGGGGGGCTCCCAAGCAGTGCTCAGGGGATGAGGGGGCAAGGGGGCTATATTTGGCAAACCAGGCTAACAAATCAATACTAGGGCCCAAGGGAGTGGTTCTGGGGACCACCAGAGCCAGGGGGCGGCCCTCATGAGGCCTGTTCCCACCTAGCCCTCTGTCCGAGTGGCAGATGGGTTGCTCAGGTCCCTCAGGGAAATCATTTTGGTAGACAGACAGAAGAGCCAAAGGTGCTTGTGCTCAGCGCCTGGCGTTGACCGTGGCACCACCTGAGAGTGTCACTTCCCAGCATCCGTGGCTGTGGACGGGGGTCAGGGATGTGGCCCCAGGGGCTCCCTTGCTTACAGCCAAGGAGTAGTCGACTCTGATGATGCAGCAGTCCAGGATGGATGGGGGCACAGGCGGGATCTTGAGGGTCTTCCCGTTCCATGTGTCGGTGCTCCCGGAGGCAATGTGGTTCCCACGCACGTTGGCCACCATGTGCCGGACGGTCTTGGTCCGGCCGCTGGCCAGGTACGTCTGGGTTTGGAAAATAGCAGCTTTGGGGACGATGAGGCGGGATGAGCAGTTCTCTATTTCCGCGTAGATGGGGATCGCTTCCCCTAGAAGGAGAGCAAGGGCACCTCCAGGAACTTTCCAGAACTTTCTCAGCCCCTGGCAGGATCAAGGCCCTGGAATTTCCCCCCAAGAACTTGCCAGAACGGAGTTGGATCACTGTGGCCCGGACACCACCACACATTTCATGTCTGATTCTTTGGGTGCAAAAAGTGGGGCCCTAGGGCCAGAGCCATAGTACAGTGGGGAGGGCACTTGCTTTGCATGTGACCAACCCTGGTTCGATCCCTGGCACCCGATATGGTTCCTTAATCCCCACCAGGAGTCACCCCTGAGCACAGAGCCCAGAGTAAGCCCTGAGCACTGCCAGATCCAGATGGAGGGCAAAATCATAATTAAAAAAAAAAACAAGAATATGCTGTCCTACTATTATCATTATTGAAATTGTGCCTGGATGACTGAAAAAGCAAACTGAAGTTCATTTGGTGAAATCCGGTACTGCACTGAAACCATTTGCTTGTGCCATGTAGCAATAGTAGCAATTCTTCAGATGTGTAAATGACCAGGATCTAAAACGACTGCTAAGGCTGAAGGTAAATGGATGGTGAGTGATGTAATGCCACGGTTAGTCCGAAGGTCGCTCACAAACCCCACTGTGCCTGTGTTCAAATTAAACTGCTCTGTGATGACAAGTACAGAATTCCTTTGATGGAGCTGCTAATATTTAGGCACGAATAAACTGAGAGGCCAGAGTAGGAGTGGGTGAGTTTTACACCTGTGTCCTACCTTTCCTACAGGCCACAGAGTGGGGACGGAGCAGGTCCTGCGTGTGGGACTGGCTCTTCCTGCTGTTGGCAAAGCTGTCTCCTGTGCTGCATTCTAGCCCTGCAGATTTCTGAGTTCCCAGCTCAGAATCCGAACGCCTCCCCAGGTTCTCCCTCCTGAGCAATACTGCTCCAGACCTCCTCTGGCGACACTGATATAAAATGTGGCGCTCCCTCACCCCTCTCGGTGAAGCCTTTGGTACCAAAAAAAATAAGGACTGGGTCAGAGTTGTTTGGGGGATCTGCTTACCCACTTAAAAGGCTGACTAATCAGGGGCCTGAGTCATAGTACAGTGGGGCGGGAGTTTGCCTTGCACATGGCTGATCCGGGTTCAATCCCCGGGTTTCCCACAGGGTTCTCTGAGCACCCCCAGGTCTGATTTCCGAGTGCAGAGCCAGGAGTAACCCTTGAGCATTGCTGGGTGTGGCTCCCCAAATTAACCAACCACAGACTTAATAATCAACTATAATGCATGTTTCACCCTCTGAAATGACAGACAGTTGTTACAGGAAAACCATCTCTGGGGTTCTGGCGAAGGGTAATGCCTCTGCCGGGACTAGCAGGCATCTGCTCACCATTACAGTAGCCCTTCCTTTCGATTTTGGCACTCAGTGAGACCGGACCGGAGGTGAAGAACCAGCAGCCCACCATCTTCTCTTGCGTTTTCAACACAGGGCTCTGGAAAATTCCAGACATCTGTGTGAGGGGCTGGCGCCAAGCCCCTCACACAAGTCACACAAGTCCCCCTCCACCACCCAGTTGGCAGTCAGGGAACACAGCCTGATATCCAGACAAACAGGGGTTGCACCTCACAGGAGTGACCCAGCACTGGCAGTGGATGCTGGGGAAAGAACCCAGGTCAGTCACATGCCAGGCCACCTGCGGTTCTATCGCTCCCGCCCCTAGCCTGGCAACTTTGGACTCTCATTTTTTCTTTTTTTTTTTTCCCCCACCCTTCCATAACCTTAAAAAACATCAGCAGGAAAAAGCTAGCCCGGTTCTTAAAAACTCTCCTTCTAACATCAAGATCCTGGCGCTGAGTCTCAATGATCCCAGTCTCCCACCTCTCCCCACGCCAAAAAATTTCATTCATTCTTATTTAAGTGAAGAACCAGTCAGGCTCTGGCAGCACTGGGAGAGCACGAGGTATAATTTGATATTATTCAGATAATACGGTTTAGATAAAAGAACCCCGCTCATTAGCACCCATCTCGACTACAATGTTGCTTCTCGCCGCCCAATCTCTCTCCGGCTTTTCTGGGGATGATGAGAAGTTCAATGCTTTAATGTGGCCAAATCTGTCCCAAGGAAATGAGCCGGACAGCTGTGCGCGCTTAGCTAATGTGAGGAAATGGGCGCAGAGTGGAGCGGGCCGGGTGGGCGCATAATAGTGCCCGCCTCAATGCAGGCGGCCCGTGAATGCTCGCCCGCAATTACTGCCCCTCACCCTGCTATTACAGGCACCTCGAGAATCCTGCCGGCCTGTGAATGCGGCCGCTGGGGGCCCAAGAGCCCCCCTGAGAGGATTGGAGGGAGGGATTATGCGATTACTAGGAAGGCTTCTTAATGCCTCTCAAGCCCGTTTTGCTTTTTTGGGGGAAAAGGCTGCCCTGAGCGAGGGGCCAGAATCCCTGGTATTAACGTCCGGTTTGGAATCTGCCCCGGTGCGGATGCCTGTGGGTGGGCAGGTGACAGCCCCTGTGGCAGGACAGATGGACGGTCAGGCAGGGGTGGCCGGGAGGCAGGGAGGGGGGTGGGGACTCACGAGCAGTGCCGGGGTGTTGACGTCCACGTGGCTGATGATCTGCAGCTCCCGCCGGACGCTCTGCGCAGGCGCCGCGGGGCGCTCCAGGACGGCCCGCACACAGTACTGGATGGCCCCGTACTTCCCTGTGAAGGATGTGACCAGCGGCCTGCAAGGGGTTGGGGGGAGAGGGGACCAGTCGGTCTCCCGGGTCAGCCCAGCCAGGGGAGGCCCCATCCCGGGTCCACTGTGGACTAAGAGAGGTGGTGGGGTGAGCCTGCAAACGGGCTTGGAGACGGGCTGCCTGGCAGAGGAGGGGGCCCTGGGGTGCAGATAGGGAACCCTGCACCCCACTTAGGGGAGGGGGCAGGCCCGTCCACTTACTCAGATGGCAGTTGGAAACTAAACGGAAATTCGTGCTTGCCGGGCTGCAGTAAGAGGGTGCCATGGCCTGGAAGAAAGAAATCAAACAGCTTCATGATTCCACGCAGTTCCCCCCCCCCCCCCCCCAAGAAGGTCTTTCCGGTCGTCAGATCCACTTCAGCCCCTGGATCCAGGATCCAGAGACTGAAAATCTTTTGTAGGTTTTTTTCTTTTTGTTTTTTTTTGCTGGGGTGGGGGGAGGGGCACCCTCAGAGCTGACTCCTGGCTCTGCGCTCAGGAATCACTCCTGATTGGGCTCAGGGGACCCTATGTGGTGCTGGGGTTCCAACCTGGGTCAACTGTGTACAAGGCAAACACCTGTCCTCCTGCTATCCTATGGCGCTGGTCCCTAGATGAAAAATCTTGTTTGTTCATAGAATGAAAATCGGAATAGGGGTGTGGGGAGATGGTTCAAAGGGCTGAGAGCAGGGTTGATCCCTGGCACTGCCTGCTCTCTGACCCCCCCACCCCAGCCACTGCCAGGAGTGAACCCCAGTGACACAGAGGCCGCAGGATCACTGCAAGGACTCAGACCAAACCTGGAACTAGAATTTGTTTTTTTGTTTGGGGGAGGTAGGCATACAGGGATGCTCAGGAATTACTCTGGCTCTGTACACAGGAATTACTCCTGGCGGTGCTTAGGGGACCATATGGGATGCTGGGGATTGAACCCAGATTGGATGTGTGCAAGGCAAATGCCCTCCCTGCTGTACTATGGCTCTGGCTTCAAATCCTTTTTTTAAAAAAAATCTAGTTTAACTAGCTTCGAACTACAGAGCCACAATTGCCAAATGACCCAGTTATACAATTACTAAAAAGTGTCAGAGTCCAGAGATCCCTGCCATGTGTGGGCAGGCACTGGGGCACGTCGCAGCCACCTGTGCACCCAGACACCCAGAAACACACACACACACACACTCTCTCTCTCTCTCTCTCTCTCTCTCTCTCTTGCTTGCCCCACCTCTTACATGGGCACAGATTGGACGAATATTCCTGTGCACCCAGACACACACACACACACACACACACACACACACACACACACACAAGACATTTGTTCGCCCAGGCTCTTACATGGGTACAGATCGGACGAATATTCCTGCACCGTGCAGTTAACGAGCCAAGATGAATCTGAACCTCAGAGCTCAGTCATTTGCCAGATGAGATTTCCTTAATTTGGTTATTTTTTTTTTTTCAGGGGGAGTGGAAGGGCACACCCAGCAGTGCTCAGGGCTTACTCCTGGCTCTGTACTTGGGAATTACTCTTGGCAGTGCTCAGGGGACCCTATGGGATGCTGGGGATCGAACCTAGGTCAGCCATGAGCAAGACAAACACCCTCCCTGCTGTTCTATTGCTCAGGCCAAGATCTCCTTAATTGGGCCTATGGCACAGAGGTGACTGCCGTGGGCAGCGCGGAACAGAGGATAGTAGCTCTATATAGACATCACTGCCCAGTCAGCAGATGGGTCAGTAGCTGGGGGCCAGGATGGGTCCTCCAGGCTCAACACTGGGCTGGATGAGAGCTCTGACTTGCTTGCTGGAGTCCCCATCTTCCTGCTCTGGGTCAGCCCAGAGAGCGTGTGGATGGACCACAGGCCCTCAGGGCCACTGAAGGTACAGACCATGTCAGACCCTCAGTTCATTCAGAGCCAATCCAGCTGCCTGTGACAGATGGAGCTTAAGACTGAACACACCGATGGTCAGGGAAACATAGCTCTGATAAGAAATTCTTTATTCATTGGGGAGAAATCTACTAAATAAAAAGGCACTGGAACCCCAGCCTTCTAAGACCCCCCAACTCTGAGGTTAGCATTCTAACCATGAGCTTGGAGAGAGCACAGCGGGGAGGGCACTGGCCTTGCACACAGTTGATCTGGGTTCAATCCCCAGCATCCTATAGGGTGCCCTGACTCCTGCCAGGAGTGATCCCTGCGTGCAGTCAGGAGCTAGCCCTGAGCACTGCCAAACTAGTAAACAGAAAGCAGGAAGGGACCAGCCCCCCTTTACAATAAGGGGTATATGGGGGTGGGGTATTAGCACAGAAGCTCATTTTAATAGAAATATTCCCTAGGTGGCCACTGGGGAATATCTCAGCCAGTCGAGACAGAGACAGGGACAAAGCCTGTCCCAGCTGGGGTGTGCCTGAAGCAGCGTGGCAGAGATCACGGATACCCTCTAAACCCGGTCCTGAGATGGGTGCAGAGCAGGTATCCGGGCGAGCAATCTGCAATTTCTGGATCTCTTGGATCACAGTACTCTCAGCACAAGCTCACGCCACAGTGCTCATTTTGAGTTCTCAGTGGATGGGGGACAGAAGCGGATGTTCTTGAGCATGTGTGGATTCGTGGGTGTCAGTGCGTGGATGCTGGGTGTGGTGGCTGCAGAGGAGTATCTGCCCCTTTCCACACAGTCGTGGCAGGAAAGGGCTGCAGGCCCTGGAGACGGTCAGGCTGTACTGGAGCCCATGGTGGGGCCTGGCACGCGGAGGGCAGATGCACATAGGGACTCGGGGCCCAGCATGGACGTGTCCGGCTAATGCAGACCTGAGAGTCACTGGGGATGTGGCCCTGGAAGAGGGAGGACACTCATTCTTCACAGAAGAAATAAGGCACAGCCTAGGGCTGAGCTTTCCCCGTGGAAGGTGCTGGCTTTGCATACGACCAACCCCAGGGCCCTCCCGGCATCACCCTGGATGCCTCGAGTACAGCGAGGGGTCACTCCTGAGCATGGAGCCAAGAGAAGCTCCTGAGCACCACCAGGTATGGTCCCTAAATCACCAACCTCTCACTCCCTGGAAAAATCGCCAAGACGTTTAGCTATTTCGAAACAGGAGGGAAATGAAGGAAGCTGATGAACTGGAGTGCTGGCATATGGTTGGAATGTGTGTGTATGTGAGTATGTGAATGTGTGTGTTTGTGACTGCGGGTCACTGTATCACAGTCATCCCACTGTTCATCGATTTGCTCAAGTGGGCACCAGTAACGTCTCCATGCGTCCCTGTAGCATTCTAGAGTAGCCCGAGGGTGTATTGGGGGCTCTTTCAGGGTCAAGGAATGAGGATCGTCATGGTTACTGTTCTTGGCATATTGAGTACGCTATGGGTAACTTGCCAGGCTCTGCCGTGTGGGTGGGAAACTCTTGGTAGCTTGCTGGGCTCTCTGAGAGGGATGGAGGCTTTTGGGGCAGCCTCTAATTGCCTTTACAGGTATTCCTAGTCAGGCATGATAATAATAATAATAATAATATATATATATAAAATGTTCCCTCTATGATTCTCCTGTAAGGGAGCATAAAAATGAGGCCCCCATAACCATGTCACCGGACTTTGCACCAGGTTATTTTCACTTGGGGCGCCCCAGAGGCGGGAGGGTAAGACTGTGGGTCACAAGGGAAAAACTATCATCTTGCTCTTCTACCTAGAGCTCCAAATTGTGGGCCCCTGGCAGCCAGGGTTGCTAAGGGCCCTTCTCAGGGGCATGGGAGAGAGGGGTGGCCTCCAGAACCCTGCAGGTAGGCTGCCAGGAACCAGAAGCACCTCGCTGTTTGTCTCCTGCCATTGTTAATAGCCACCAGGAGATAGCCAGTAGCTGTGTGATAAGAATTCTTTGGTATTAGAAGAACAATTCCAAGGAACTATCCAGAGAGATCTTTTGGGAAACACCACAGGCTCACATGTCTTGCAAATCTGAATTTTTCCAGAGCTCAGAGTTGGAATAAAATAAGTCAAGGGGTCTACTACTCTATCAAGTGGCTCTCCTCTTCCTCTTCCTCTGCTACTCTTTATTTTTTTATTTTGTTTTTGGGCCACACCCTGTGATACTCAGGGGTTACTCCTGACTCTGCACTCAGTAATTAATCCTGGCCTGTTTGAGGAACCCTATGGGATGCCGGGGATCAAACCTGGGTTGGCTACATGCAAAGCAAGCGCCTTCCTGCTGTGCTATTGCTCCTGCCCCAAGCTGCTCACTTCCAAGTGAGATGCTTGTAGGTATGGCTTTTCCTCTGCAGAATCAACTAGTAGATGACACTGGTTAAACCAAATGCAACACTTGCCGCAGTCACACAGTTTTGGGTTCTGGTTTTGGGTCATACCCGTGGTGCTCAGGGCTTCCTCCTGGCAGGGCTCAGGAAACCATATGTGGGACCCAGGATCAAACCAGGGGTGCTGGCGTGCAAGGCAAGCGCTGTATTCTCTGCCTGACCTCTCGATTCCTTGTTAGTTTGAAACGAGCCTAAGATTTTCAGGTTTCCTTGATTTAGAATAGGGATGGGAGGTGGCGGGGGGAGGGGGGAAGGGAACCAACCCAACAAGCCACCACGATCTGACTTGTAACCAGCACAAGTTTTTATTGCCAGCCTCAGCTTCAAAACCTCTTATCTCACCTCTATTGACTCGGGAATCACAGGCCCAAAGTCCAAAATCCTGGACAAAAACCACGCTCTCTGTGGCTCGCAAGGCCCAGTGCCACCATGAATGTCTGTGTGGTGTGTTATTCTCGGGGACTGGCAGGAGCGGGTCCCGGAGCAGACAGAAGATAGGGCACCCCAGCTACGAATCCAGAAGCATCTCTCTGTTCTGTTCTGGGGGTTTCGGAGGACCCTATGTGGTGCCAGGGATCGACCCAGGGTTGGGCACATGCAAGTTAAGCACCTTCACCCCCGCTGCCTGGTGCGTTTTGGGGGCCGTGGCTCCTTACTACAGTTTCTGGGCTCTGCCCTGGCTCTCCTATCTCGGGGATCTGGCTGTGGACAGCCTAATCTCTCCACAGCGGAGGCAGCAAGACTGGCTGCCCACTCTACTGATGGTGCCTCTGACCTACTGAAGACTCAGCGCTGCCCCCCACCTCAATCTCCCCGGGCCGGGGTGGGAGAATGGCCCATACCAGCTTCTTCCTCTGCAGAGAAAAGGCAAAGTGCATGTAGCAGAAAAAGTTAAGCTTAGCTCCTACCAACTGTGAGAGGATGGAGCTTGGGAATGACTTCCTTGTCATTTTCTGGTCACAGGAATTAGTCTGCACCCTTTATCTTAATGGGCCACCACCATGTCCTGGCATTCCTGCCCAGGCACTTGTTTTTTTTTTTTTTTTTTTTTTTTTTGCTTTTTGCTTTTTGGGTCACACCCAAAGATAGTCTTTGCTCTGCACTCAAGAATTATTCTTAGTGATGCTTGAGGGACCCTATGGCATGCCGGGGATCGAACCAGGGTGGGATGTGTGCAAGGCAAATGTCCTCCCCTCTGTACCATTGCTCTGGCCCCTGGCCTGGCCACTGCTGGGAAAGCCTTGGTCCATTACTGGGCTGGACAAGGTTGGACATGTGTCTTAAAGGTCTGCTTCTTATGGTGGTTGAGGGTAGGGTCGGGGGGAAGCTGAGGGTGACTGGTATTTCCAAGAGAGCCCCAGAAAGCAACTAAGAACAAACTGGAAGAATTTAAAGAGTGGAACCAAATTCAAGTTCTTCCCTTAGCACCAGGAAGTCCTCTGATTAGAACCCAGGACTGAGATTCTGAACTCTCTGTTGGTTTGGGGGTTAAGCCCAGTGTTGATCAGGGCTGACTCCTGGCTCTGTGCTCAGGGAGTTCTCCTGCCGGGGCTCCTCTGGGGTGCTGGGGATTGAACCCGGCCTGGTGGCGTGCAAGGCAAGCTGTCCTATGTCCCTTGCTGTCCTATGTCTCAGGCAGGAGTGACGTTTTGCCAATTCATCCTGGACCCAGCGGAATCAGGGCCTCTAGGACAGGAGGCAAAGGAGGCACGAGAACCTCTCCCACAACCCTGGGCAACACCACCACGGGGGTTCTCAGAGCCGGGGGGTGGGGGTGCTCCCCATCCCCCTGAACCCCCACACTCCAGATCTGAGCGATCATCGCCCCATCCGTCCCCACGGCAACGGCGCACACCCAGGGCTTCCTAGAAATCAGGGAAACCCGGTGCAAGTCAGGTCTCAGCTGGGTGGGCACCCAGCACCCCCCATCTCATTGCACCACGCAACTAAGGTGGGAGATGGGGGCGCGCAAGCATTGTGACCCGCCGCACCCCACTCCCCGTCCCCCAGAGCCAGCTGAGGCTGCAGTTCTCCGGGCCCCCCGGGTCCCCGGCCGCCCCCCAGGCTGGCTCACCGTCCGGGGGCTCCTGCAGGCTCAAGCGCACGTTCAGGTACTCCACCTCCGAGGCGGGCGCGGGGCCGGCAGCGCTGCCCGCGCTCGGGCCCCAGGCGGCCGTGGCACGGCCCTGGGCCTCCAGGCGCAGCGCACGCACGGCCAGCGGCTCGGCCGCCTCGAGCAGCACGTGGCCGGCCACCGTGTCGCCGCTCGCGTAGCAGCCCCGGCGCTCGTCCTCGAACACCAGCCCCAGGCGCTGCACGCGCCCCGGCGCGCCCGCCGGGGCCCCCACCTCGCCCCCCATCCCGCCGGGCCACGCGGCCGCGCCGCCCAGGACGGCAGCGGTCCCGAGCCGGGGTCACGGGCCTCGCGGCGCCGCTGTCACGGGCGCCCGCCGCACGCCGAGGGCCACCGCGGCCACTGTGCGGTGCCCCCGTGGAGCCCGAGCCCGCCGCGGCGTCTGTCTCTTTAACAGACTCAGCTGGGTCTGGAAAGGGGCGGGAAAGGCCCGCCCCCGGCGCGCGTCCATTCGCCAGCAGGCAGCCGCGCGTCCTGCCGATTGGTTGTGAACGGCGCCTGAGTCATTTCATTGGCGCCCCCACGTAGAGGCTGGAGCAGGAAGGCTGTGCGTGATCAGGGCCGAGTGGCCAATCGGAAGACGCGGGCGTGCACGTGCACAGGCCGCCTATTGGCTAGGGCAAGGCACGGTCCCAGGGCACTGACCAATTGCGAGGCGGTGCGCCCACGTGGACAGATAGTGGGAAACAAAATTTGCTCGGGAGGGGGCGGACCCGGCGAAGCACCGGACTCCCGGCTTGTCAGCTGTTCCCATAGTTACGCACGCGGGCGGGGTTTCGGACTGCTCCCGCTGAGCTGGAGTCGCCAGGTCGATTCCTCCTGAGCTGGGGTCGCGGCTGGCTGGTATTTCTGATGACGGCTGCAGGACTCAAAGGAATGCAACCCAGCGATGCTTCCTGGGGAAAATCGGGGGGGGGGGGGGGCGGGGGGAGGAGGAGTGTCGCCACCGCCCTCCCTCCTGTCACCCAATGCACCCTCAAGATGTCAACATTCCCAGCGGCAGAGCCACAGGCGTGGAGAATTCAGGCATCCAGGCTGAGTTCTGCAGGATCCCGGGTGCTGAGGACTGTTCAGCAAGGTCATGAATCAGTTTGTTTCCAAGCTCCCTTCTGCCACCCAAGTTTCTGCCCCACCCTGGGATTTCCTGGCTTCCGTGGTGTCACCTCCCTGAAGGTTTGCGGTCTAGGTGTTGTACCTTGCAAAGCTGCCACTGTCTGGCCAGTGTTTCCCAACCCTTTCAAGTTTTTTCCCCCTTCTGTGCATTCCAAGCTTGTGAACTGTATCACAGCTTGATGAAGCTCATGAGTTTTGAAAAGATTTCCTGATGACAAAATAGATTTCCTATTTCTGTTTTCTTCCTTCTCTGTTTTTTTTTTCTCCCCTACCCTCCTTTAAAAAAAAAAAAAGCAAAGAAAAAAGAAAAAGGGATCCCAAACTCTGGTTTGTTCTACTGCCCCTTTTGAGTTGTGATTTAAAATCTGGAAGTTTACTAGAATTCATCTGCCTCACAGGGACGGGGAGGGGTGGGGGGTGGGGTTTTATTGGGGTTCTTCATGGTAAAAAATAAGTTTTGGTAAAGGGAAATGTGTTTGATATTTGCATGACTGAGACATAAACCTGAAAGCTTTGTAACCTTTCCCACAGTGATTCAATAAAAAAAAAAAAAAATCTGGAAGTTTACAAGGGCCAAAGTTTCCTGATACCTTTGGAAAGAAAGGAAGGGTCACTAATTCAGGTCTGCATAAAGTTCTAAGTGACTACTATTATATCATTATTTACACCCCAGCCCTCCCCCCACCCCCGCCCCCATGGACTAGGGTCCCATGGCTTTGTGACACAGTCTTTAATTCTTATTTGCATATCCTTCATCACAATCCTCCCTGTTGAACCAGACTTGCCCCCGTCATTGAAACCCTGGAATCTAGCACAGCAGAATGTAGCAAGCAAGAAGTGCTCTGTGATGACTGATTGAGCGACAGAGCTCATACCCATGCAGGGAATTTAGTCTTGCAATAAATACCTGATCCTCTGGCTCTTAGATCTGCCACGCCTGCATCCTTTGCAGTGACCTTTCTTCTCCATCCTGTTCCTGACCAAAATGCAAGTCTGGGATGAGCAGAGATGTCCCCACGTCCCTAGGGGAGAATGGCATGGAAGCTTGGGTGTGTGGGAGGACCAAAAAAGCTTGCATATTTGTCAGTTGTTAATATTTTGAGGACTAATAGTAGAGACATAAAGAAACTGTTGCTTCAGATCAAGGAGTATATTTCTTTCTTGTTTCAACAAACATTTTGTTGTTTGTTTGGACACACTAGACTGTGCTCAGGACTGACTCTTGGTTCTCTGCTCAGGGATCACTCCTGGAGGGGATTGGGGTACCATACGGATTGCTGGGGATCGAACCCTGGTTGCTTGCAGGGCAAGCACTTTCCTGGCTAACTCAGCCCTTAAACATTGTATTTTAGCCAAATCACAGAGAACACAAACATGCACATAAAAATCAGTAAACAGGAAAAAAAAATGACATCGGAATGAAGTGATTCTGTTTCTAAGGGAGCAAAATAGCATTATAAGGGATAATGAAATTAGTACACTAGATACTTATTTTTCATAGTTCTGTTTCTGAGACTATCTCCTTTAAAAGCATTGTATGTAATCAGTGGTTCTTTTCTGGTCATTTGGGGTCACATGCAGATATATATGTATATATATGTATATGTATATATATAAGGTAAAGGCCCTCCCGTTGATCGTCGATTTGCTCGAGCGGGCCCAGTAACGTCTCCATTGGAGACTTGGTTGTTACTGTGTCTGGCATATCGAATACTCTCGGTAGCTTGCCGGGCTCTCCGAGAGGGGCGGAGGAATCGAACTCGGGTCGGCCATGTTGGCCGCTTGTAAGGCGAACGCCCTACCCGCTGTGCTATCGCTCCAGCCCTGTATATATATAATTTTTATTTAATTTTATTTTAAATTCCAGGAAGCATTTGCTCCCAGATGATCTGTCAACAATTTTTTTTCTATCATCTTATTTCAGTTCTCAAACTGTTAAGAGTCCTGTCTCTGGCCTCTTTAATGTCTTGATTTCTTGGTTTTTGTTTACAGTTTCCCTGTTGAAGTGGATGGCCAAGTCGATGTAAATTCAATGTGGTCCCATTTGTACCCTCTGGGTCTGTGTATCTGAGGGAGATGTTGAGATCAGCTTTGCTCTGGATGAGTTATTCTAACACAGTTGCCTGTTTCATGTTGATATGGATGTTCAACTCCATACTGAATAAGGGGTTTTGAATAAGTCCATCCTTGGCTCACCCAGGATTAGCTTTCATATAAAATGCTCTTTCCCAGTGCTCCTGAGATGTTGTCCAACTATGACCCTCCTATTTTTTTAACAGTGAATAGGACTTTTTATTTTACATTATTATTATTATTATTATTATTATTATTATTTTGCTTTTTGGGTCACACCCGGCGATGCACAGTGCATAGTGCCCATTCTCCACCACCAATGATCCCAGTGTGCCTCCCCCTCTCCCCCCCCTTCCAGCCCCCCTTCCAGCCCCGATTCTCTGGCAGGGCATTCCCTTTTTATCTCTCTCTCTCTCTCTCTCTCTCTCTCTCTCTCTGTCTCTCTCTGTCTCTCTCATTTTGGGTGTTGTGGTTTGCAATAGAGGTACTGAGTGGCCATTGTGTTCGTATGACCCTGCTTTTTGACCCATTTAACTTCCTGTGTGTGCATCCCCCATCCTACCAACCCCCAAGTCTCATGCTATGGTCCTTCAGTTTCTGTGATTTTTTGCAACCCCTTGGAATATCCTGGGGACCCATAGGGACCTTCCTGACCCCAACTGAGAACAGCTGTCTGCTCTGTTCAGCTCCTTTTTTTTTTTTTTTCTCAGTGCTAAGGCATCTTGTCCTCAGGAGTTTCAAGAAAGGGGCAAAGGGGGCCAGAGGTATAATGCATCGGGGAGGGTGTTTTTGCCTTTCACACAGCCAATCCGGGTTCGATCCCTGGCATCCCATAGGGTCCCCTGAGCACTGCCGGAGTGATTCCTGAGTGCAGAGCCAGGAGTAACCCCTGAGCATACCTGGCTGTGACAAAAAAGTAAAAATAAAGAATAATAAAAGTGTCTCTCTATATTTTTATAATTGATTTATTTTTTAAAAATTCAGTTTGGTTGACAAGATGAAGGAATTCCAGGGGTTTAGCTTCCCCCTCAAACTCCAGTGCCATCCCCCCTTCCCCTGCCAAAAGGCCCCTCTTCCTATCCCTCCCACCTTATAGTCTCCTTTGCTGGCGAGCACCCTGGTTTTCACTGAGTCTGGGAGTTTGTTGTGTTGCTTCTGATAGTTGCGCAATTTCACTTGTGAATGAAACTGGAGGCAGGTAATTGCCATTTCCCTCCTGGCTTAGGATACTCAGCGAAATCTCCTCTAGTTCTACTTCTGGTATAGAATTCCATGGAGCTGACAGACCTCACAGCCTCTTAATCCAGGTGAATATTTAGATCAATGGCATGATGATGGTGATTGTTTATAATATTGCTAGATAAGAGTGTTTCCATATCCAAGGGTTGAGTGCCATTGCTGTAGTCCAGTGGAATTTCTCTTTTGTTGTTGTTGTTTTGGGCATCTGGTTGTGTCCAGGGCTTACTCCTGGCTCTGCTCTCAGGACTCACTCCTGGCAGTGCTTAGCCCTCAACTCCTTACACCGTTTTCTTGGGCCTCAACCCAAACCCACTATTCCTAGCTGAGTAAAGTATTTCTAAGTCTTGGTGCAGTGCAAAATTTCACTTGGTCTGTGTCTTACACACACATGTTCATAAAAGCTTCAAAGTAGGTCCAGTTCAGGGTTTTGTACCTTGTTTTTCTTTGCTTCAAAACAGGCTGGATCTCTCTCTCTCTCTCTCTCTCTTTATTAGCACATAAAATTCTACCTCGTAGTTTTCATGAGTAACTTAGAATTTTATTGTGTGACTGTGCCATTGTTTGTATAATCATAGCCCACTAATAGGTATTTTGTCTTTTTGAGATTTAGGGCTATTAATAATAATGGTGATGCTATACACCAGGAGTAAGTCTCTGTGTATATACACATAATTATTCCCTCTAGGATAAACCCTACCATGTAATAGCTGAGTCAAAGGGTAGGTTGTTTTTAATTTAAATAGATACTGCCAAATTACCCTCCAAAAAGATTATATCCTCATTAGCTGTACACAGGGTCATTTCTTTTCTTGCCAACACCCAAGTTAATCATTCTATAATCTTTGCCAAGCAGATGGGCGAAAAGGCAATTCTTTGGGGCTGTAGGTTTACCTTTTGATGAATCTGGTGAAATGGAAGTTTTTAAAAAATGTGACATG